GTATATTTCCCTGTGCTATACAGTGTAATCTTGTTTATGTATTCTACAATTTTGAAATCCCATTCTATCCTTTCCCACCTTCCACCCCCCCCGATGATGGTCTTTTAAACAAATGGTGCAGAGATGATTAGAAATCTACACTAAAAGATGAATTTACACTATCATCATGGCCAAAGTTAAAAATAGTGAAGGCATCACATAATGAGGGAGGATGTGTAGAAACTGGATCTCTCATCTGTTGCTAATGGGAATATAAAATTAAAATTATACATCCACTCTGGACAAAAGTTCTGCATTTTCTTTAAAAAGTAAACATGCAACAGTGCAATAAGATATTTTTCTAAGGAATAGATATTGGAAAAGAAGACATAAAATTTTAATTGCTGAAGAGTTTATCATCTTTGTAGAAAATCCTAAAAATATTTTTTTAAAAAGCTTATAAAATTAATGTGATTATAGCAACATCAAAAGACACAAGGTCAATAAAAATACCAATTGCATTTCTATACACTAGTAATGAATTTCCAGAAATTGAACTATTTTTAAAAAGGATCATGTACCCACCAGAGGTGGGGGAGTGGGGGAAGGGGAAATATGATGAAGGCAGTCAAAATGTACAGACTTCCAGTTATAAGATAAATAAATTCTAAGAATATAATGTACAACATGATAAATACAATTAACATTGCTGTATGATATATATGAAAGTTGTTAAGAGATCCTAAGAGTTCTCATCAAAAGAAACATATTTTTCTATTTCTTTAACTTTGTATCAAAATGAAATGTGGATGTTCACTAAACTTATTGTGATAATCACTTTATGATGTATGTAAATCAAGTCATTATGCTACACACCTTAAATTTATACAGTGCTGTTATGTCAATTACAGCTCAATAAAATTAGAATAATAAATAAAAGACAATGTATAATAACATGAAAAAAGATGCAGTATTTAATTATAGCATGCAAAAATACTAAGTAGTTAGAGATAAATTTGACAAAAGATATGCAAGATATGTACACTGAAAATTACAAAAGAAATGAAAGAATACATACATAAGTACCTGTAAAGATGTACCATATTCACAAATTTGAAAACTCAATACTGTTAGATGTCAACTCTACTAAACTTATCTATAGATTCGATGCATTTTCAATAAATTCACAGCAGGACTTCTTAAAGAAACTGACAAGGTGATTCCAACATATCTATAGAGATGTGTCCACTGAAAGAAAAATGCACAACGTGAGAATTATGAGTTAAGTTTTATTCAGGATCTTACTGAAGACTATAGCCCCCAGAAGACAGCCTCTCAGATAGCTCTGAGGAACTGCTCCAAAGAGGTAGACCGGGAGGCTAGTTTATATCTGATTTTTTTGTGTGTGAGGGAATACAAGCAATCAGCAAACACTTTAGTAAAAGATTACTGCTGGTCACAAAAAGACCCAGCTATCTCAAGTTAATGAATATAGTATTTTTCTATGTATGGGAAGATGCAAGAAGTGGAGTTCATTAAAATTCTTCCTGCAATGCATCTTAACTGTCTAAGGGCCTGTTTGTCCAAAGCACAGAGCATCTCGTTACCATCTTTAATTTCCTCTGTCTGAAGCACAGAGTGCTTCTTCCGGTTATTACCTTAATCTCTTCATCTGAAGCACCGAGTACACTGTCGGTCAGCGGCTGCAGCGGGCTAATCTTTGTAGACTTGGATGATGAGTGAAATGCTCTTTGCTCTTCTTTTGTTTGCAAATGCAAAAGGCTTCAAAACAATTTTGAAACAGAACAAAGTTACAGGACTTATCTACACTGCCTAGTTTCAAGATTTAGTATAGAACAACAATTATCCAGGCAGTGTGATATTGGCATAAAAATAGATTTAGAGATCAATGGAAGAGAACAGGGAGTTCACAATATACTCACAACTATATGGACAATTAACTTTCGACAGAAGTGTGAAGGCGATCCAATGGAGAAAGGATATTTTCAACAAATAGTGCTGGAAATATTGGATAAGCATATCTTTAAAAACAAAATGACCCTTACCTCACATCATATACAAAAAGTAACTCAAAATCATAGGCATAAATGTAAAAGACAAAGCCATAACCTTCCAGAAGTAAACACTGGAGAAAATCTTATTGATCTAGGATTAGAAACACATTTTTTAAATAGGACCCCCATACACAAAATATAAAAGAAAAATTGATAAAGTAGACCTCATCAAAGTTAAAATATTTTGCTCTTTAAAGGACACAGTTATGAAAATGAAAAGACAAGCCACAGATTGGGTAAAAACATTTGCAAAACACATATTGGATGAAAGACTTGAATACATCTAAATCTAGAATACATATATTTTAAAAAACAATTACAATGCAATAATAAGACAATCCAATAAAAAGTGCTACCAATTTGAAAAGAAACATTTGACCAAAGAAATTATATGGATGATAAATGACGGCATGAAAATATGCTCAACCATTAGTAGTCATTAGGAAAATGAAAAAAATCAAGCCACAATGAGATACCACTCACTACACACCAATAAAAAAGCCAAAATTTTTAAAAACTCACCATACCAAGTGTTGGGGAGGATGTGGAGCAGTTAGAACGCTCATATCCTGCTGTAGGGAATGTGAAATGTTATAACCACCATGGAAACCAGTTTGTCAATTGCTTAAAAAGCCAACCATACATGTCCCAAATTACCCAGTAATTCTACTCTTAGATGTTTATTAAAGAGAAAAGATAACACGTGCACACACAAAGACTTGTACATGAATATTCAAAGCAGGTTTCTTTGTGATAGGCAAAAATTGGAAACCACATAAATGTCCATGTCCAGGTAAATGGATGAACAAATTGTCATATATCCAGACAATGGAATACTATTCAGCAATATAAAGGAAAGAACTATTGACAAATGCAACAAGTTACACAAATCTCAAATTCATTAGGTGGAATGGAAGAATACTGGTAAAAAGAAGCATGTACTCTAAGATTCCATTTATATAAAATTCTAGAAAATCTCAAATTATTCTGTGGTGACAGAATGTAAATAACTGGTTGCCTGGTGATGGAAATGGAAGGAGGCATGGACTGATTACAAAGGAGTCAGAGGAAACTTTTAGTGGTAATGGGGATGTCTATCTTGACTCATTGTGTATACCTATGTCAAAGTTGATTTTAAATATGTGCTGTTTATTGTACATAAATTATGTCTCAATAAAGCTATTTTTAAATGGTGAATGTCTGAGAAAAGATTAGCTCTTAATAGAGCAGTGGTCAGGGCCAGAGTGAATACAGCTGTCTGTAGCACGAGGAAAATGACCTAGGACATCCTCTCAGAGCGCTGAGCACAGTGGTGCCCAAAGCCAGTAACACATTATCCCAAGATTGCAACAAGACCATGATGGATAAAGCAGACATTTCCTGCAGTGAGAAGTCAGACATGGAGGTGGGGCAAAAATTGTCAGTAACTGTTTAAATACCTGCAGAGAGCAGTGATCAGCCTGCTCCTAGCAGAAACCATAAGCAAAGCATCATAGGCAAAGTAAACTGCCTCAGTGCGTTCAGGCTGCTGTAACAAAATACCACAAACTGGGAATCTTATAAACAACAGAAATTGATTCCTCACAGCTCTGGAGACTGGAAGTCTGAGATCAGGGTGGCAGCATGGTTGGGTGGGGATCCTTTTCTTGGCTCATAGCTGGTACCTTCTTTTTGTGCCATCACCTGGTGAAAGGGGTGGGAGATAGCTCTTTTATAAGGCACTAATGCTGTTCATAAGGGCTACATCCTCATGACTTAAGCACCTTCCAAAGACCCCACTTTCCAATACTATCATCTTTGGGGATTAGGATTTCAACATATGAATTCAAGAGGGGAACACAAACATTTAGATCATGACAACAACTAAGGCTGCTACAGAGGAGATACCAGTCCATTGGGAAAGAAAAATGTAGGTTGGAAAAGAAAAAAGTAGGCTTCCAAGGACAAGCCATTACTAGCAGAATTTATACATCCTTAGCATACTGCTTATCTATTGATGGGTAATAATTTTAAGACAAAATTTGTAGGTTAGAACAACACACATTTACCATCTCCCAGATTCTGTGGTTGGAGCCTGGCTTAGCTGAATCGTCTGCAGGGCTCCAGCCCATGTGTCAGCTGAAGCTGTGGTCTCTCCTGAGGCTGTCCTGGCAAAAGAGCTGCTTCATCACTCACATGGCTATTGGCAGCATTCGGTTCCTTTGAACTGAGGACCTAGTTTCTCAGCCAGAGCCCACCTTCAGCTCCTGGCCACATGGCCCTCTCCCTATGGAAGCTTGCTTCTTCAAAGCCAGAAAGGGAGTGAGAGTCTTTGCACAAGATGAATGTCACTATCTTACAGATTGTCATCATATGCATCTTACCACCTTTGCCACATTCTGCTGGTTAGAAAGTCCCACCCATACTCAAGGGGAGGAGGTAAGACAAAAGCATGGACACCAAGAATTGGGGACTATGGGGGTCACCCCAGCACTGTCTGCCACACTTGGTGAGCAGGGAGCTGTGGCTCCGGGCAGGTCATGTGAAATGGAAGAGACTGCAGGAGGCAGTCCACAGGCAGCCCATCTTCAGTGCCCCATCCAGATACAGTATTATCCACTGGAGTGAATGTGAAAAACAACTGAAGGGTAGCAATGAGGCTATCCCAGCAACTAGGGTGCCAAAGGGGAAACTACCGCAATGAGGCTGAGACAAGGGACACATTGGCATCTTTCACCAGGGAATGTGCCAATATCCAAGTGCAAGGCAGTTGTCAGTCAGAGCCAACACCCCCTTGGACACCAGGGAGCAGCCCCGCTTGGAGCCAGTGAAACACCATGGAGGGGAATGGGAACCATTGCAGCAATGCAAGGGCACATGCACAAATTGTCTTTCCCACTTTTAGGCAATGCAAAGACAATTACTCAGGACAGGTCAGGCTGTCCCAGAAACTAGAGGACAGAGGGGTGACTAGGCACCATGTGCCTTAACATTAACACAAATTCCAGCCCCTACATGAGAACAATAGTAGCACCAAGGACAGACTACAGGTGCGGGAACATCCTCCCTCAGACAAGAGGGCGGACCCCTCTGTGTTCGAGCAGAAGCCACCGTGGGGGTGGAGGACAGTCAGGCTCTCCAATAACACCTGAATTCTCTCAGAGAGCAGGGGCAGTGCCCTGGGGAAATGGGAGCAATACTCAAAAGCTGTGACTATGTGGCTCAGGGGAACAGAGCAACCCTAAAAGAAATGGTCTGCTTGTGTGAGGTGACTGCGAAGAGGAGGGTGGGGGCCAGATCAGCAGAGGGGAGTGAGCCAGTCTGGGAAGAGCAGGAAACCGGAGTGGGGAGCTGGGGATTTCAGAGGCAAGACTCAGTGCAGAGGGAAGGAACGGACAATCTTCTTTGGTGATGTATTGGGGGGAGGGGGGAAATGGTCCTTCAGATGGTGGCAAATGGTCTGCTCCTACTCAGTTACATCCCCTTGGAAAGTAGCCTGTGTCCACCCCAACATCAGAAACCTTGGTTTAACAGAGACTCACCCGAGGTCACTCTACCAGGCCAACATCCCATTCTGTGGCCCCAGCATCCCCACACAGTCCCCCACTGGAAAAGCAGGCCAATCTTAGCAGCGTAAGTGCCACGTGTCTAGGCTGAGAGCGAGAGTCTTGGGCTGCGGAGGGCTTCCCAAGAGCAGGTGGGGGTGGTGGGAAGAGAAGCACTGCGCCCACAGCTGTTCTTTAGTAATTGACCCAAACCCCGTCTGTTTAGCGATTTAGGCACCAGCAAACAAAAGATGCAAGAGAGGCATTAGGGAGAGGGAAGATGAGGCCAGGCTAGCAATCAGAGGACCGAAAAGCAAAAAATAGTTTCTTCCTTGACCTGGGAGAGCTGGGCCAGCCTTGCAGAAGGGCATATATAAGCTCGGTGGTCAGAGGGGTGTCTCCCAGAGCTATCTGAGCTCAGGCCGTGATGGTAGAGAGCCAGGGGATCTCCTCAGTGCAGACGAGGAAGGGTGACCATTGCAAGGAGACACAGTGACTCCCTGGCACCTCCCCCAGCCATCCTGCCACAGCACCATACACATGAGAGAGCAGACTGTCTCACTGAGGTGTGATGTGCCCTTCAGAGAGGAGGAAGGACAGCACCCCTCCCTCACACACAAAGAGGAGAGAGCATTCCTCTTGTGCAGGGCAAAGCAAAATCTGACAAAGCATTGCACAAATATCTAGGGGCAGAATTAATCTACACTAGAGGCAAAGAAAGTGTTCCCCAGATTTTTCTTACTCTCCCAAGGTGCTCCCAGGATGCCAAAGTCAACCAGCTCCAGGGCCTGAGGCCTTATGGGCTCAAGATTCCTCTTCGATGTTTGGATTCTTTGCTTCCCACTTCCACCCCCAGCCTGACTCTGCCCCGTGGACCTGGCTCCTGACTTGGTCACCTTCGGTCAGTTTCCAAGCTCGGGGCCCTAAGGCACGTGGGCTGACTTTCTGGTTCAACCCTTGGCCTCCTGCAGGATCCATACATGACCTCGTACTTCCTGTGGTCCTGGTCACTCCAGGTACTGCTGCTGGGGAAATACAGGCAGACCTCATTTTATTGCATTTTGCAAATATTGCATTTTTTACAAATTGAAGGTTTGTGGTAACCCTGTATTGAGCAAATCTTTCAGCACCATTTTTCCAATAGCATTTGCTCACGTAGTGTCTCTGTGTTGCATTTTGATAATTCTCATGATGTTTCGATTTTTTTTCATTATTATTCTATTTGTTCTGGTGATCTGTGATCAGTAGCCTTTGATGTTACTACTATGACTCACTGAAAGCTCAGATAATGGTTAGCATTTTTTAAACAAGAAAGTATTTTAAATTAAGGCGTGAGCATTGTTTTCTTAGACATAATGCTATTACACACTTAATAAACCACAGTATGGTGTAAACGTGACTTTTCTAAGCACAAATATGACCACTTTATGCATTTTATTGGTAGTCTACATTTTAAATCTGCAGTATGACATATAGGGAAAAAAGCTTCTACTTAAAAGATTACTGTTAATAATCAAACCAGCCTTAATATGACTGACCTTTCAAGGTCTTGTTTTGCATTAAACAAGTTAATTTTTAGCAGGTGTAAATCACTGCCCCCCCAAAAAAAGGAAACTGGGTACATTCTCAAAATTTAGCTTCCTCACCAGGAGTCTGCTGGATAGATATTGGAGAAGGGTGTTATGTTCAGGTTTAAACTGAAAGAAAATGGGAAACCAGATAAAGCAAGCCAAGCAAATTCACTTCACTTTGTGCTCCTTTCTGCTGCTTTGAAAGTCTCTCCCAGAGGTCAGGAAGCCCTGGTATGACAATCACTTTAGTCTTTACAGAACATACATTCATGTGCTTCACGTTCAAAGACATACAGGCAGTCTTTGTTACTGTTTCTCCTCCAGATCCCTTCAGATTCTCATAAGCTTCAGAAAGCTTCCCAAGATTGTTGCCCAGTTCTTTATCTGAATCCAAGTAAACATCTATGCCAAAGCAGCTCTTCCTGGGAGAAGATAAAACAGGCACAGATACATAACCAGCTCAATTGCATACCTACTCAACTGAACACCTGATCACGTATCCTGATGTCTTTAAAAGCAGCACTAGGGACAAATGGAACTCTCAAGAGGTAAAATCCAAATATCGAACAGTTAAAACACATACAAATCACTCAGTTAAAAGAATGTTAGCAGGGGCAAGGCAGACAGTGGGTATAGCTCAGTGGTAGTGTGCATGCTTAAAAAATAAATAAAAATGTAAAGAATAAAAGAATGTTAGCAGAGGGGCACTAAAAGGAGTTAAGCTGGGCAGCTGGTTCAGCTATACCTTGGTATTGGAATAAATCTGTAAGATGAGGAACTGACAGAGACACTGAAATAGCTAGGCACCGTGGTACGATGGCGTTCACTTTCACTGCATGTGTTTAAGATATTACTCAATCCCAGTGACTATAAAGCAACTTGTGGATCTTCAGTAAATAAATCCTAATATAAATATATGTGATCTTATTTGAGAGTGTTGCATGGTATGCCTATCTTCTTCACATTTGAATCAAAATACCTATGTAGACATGAAAATAACTATAAAACTGATACCAACTGTTATTATTCCTTGAGAGTTCCAATGGTTCAATAACAGCTCTAGTCTGTGCTGGTAAACATACCTTCTACATGCACTGGGAACCCAAAAGTTTCATGTGACTTTCTTTATTGCGATATTCACTTTATTGTGGTGGTCTAGAACTGAACCCACGATATCTCTGAGGTAAGCCTGTGTGATTAAATATAACAATCTCCTCTCAACCCAGAAAACCTGTCCTCAAAAGTAGTAAGGAAAAACAATAATTTTATATTGAATAAACATTAAAACAGAATGTGATGAGCATCAGAGGCAACCCACTGCTGGGATTGCAGAGACAGAAACAGAGCTACTTTTTATGAAGCTAAATGGAGTTTACAACTCATTCCACTACATAGGTCTTGCAATTTGGAGTGGCGTGGTGTTAGGTCCACATTCTCCTAGGAAAGTGGGAGATAGAGCTTTATCTTTCAGGATGATGACATTTCAAGAGATGGCTGCCAGGTCTTTCCGAGGACATTCCTGAGTTGTGAGCCTGGCAAGAGGTTTTTTTGGCCATTACAAAAACTTACATACATTTGAATGGACAGAGAAAGAAATTTGAAGGAAAAACAAGAAGCGGGGAGAAGTCGCTTCCCTTATTTTTAACAAGAATTATTTTGTTTGGTTTCTGGCAAATTATGCTCAAAGACTGAGACTGTCTTTGCCAATAATCTATTTAACACAGATTCACTGTGGGAATTATAGCAATTTCACAAGCCAATAGCATACAGGATAATGTCTCTTAATAAACCAATAAAGAAATAACATACTCCAAACCAATACTAGATTAATCACACTGTGGTTCCTGGCAAGGGAGAGATAAAAGGAATAAAGTCCAAATTTAGTTGAGCTGCACCTTTCTAGAGTGGGTTCTCAAAAGAGTGGACTTAGCCAACCACGAGCTGATGTGCTAAGCAAAAGTCCCCCGTTGCTAGGGCACGTTGCTAGGGAGGGAAGAGACCCGCTGACAGGCAGGGCACGTTGCTAGGGAAGGAAGACGCCATGTTGGCGGCCAAGAGAGCTCCTTCAAGGGGCCGCTGCCCTGTTTTCACCACTGCAGGCAGAGGCGCTTTGCCCAGGCAGGAGCTAATACCGCCCCCACCCCACAACCCAGGGTCTTCAGAGAGCTATTAGGTCAGCGAAGAGTAGCCTTGCCCGAACACTCCGGAATATTCTGGAGGTGCTGTTTTCACCTCTTGGTATTTAAAGCTTAAACGTTTCGCCCCCTCCACCCCACCATAGTGGCTCCTCCACCTGTTCTTACGGATAAGCCCCCAGCAGTGCTTGTCAATATCTGAACCACTGAGTACTTGATGACATAGTTCCTCAATGAAAACAACTTCACTCTTAGATCAGAATGGGTGGGTTTAAAATCCTATCAGCCAATACACAAGAATTAAGCCTTTTCTTTTTCATTTGTATTTGCCCTTCTACTTCCCATGTTTTTTCTGTTTCCTGCCACAGGGACAAATCCTAACTATCTGACAGCTTTCCCAGTATTAGACAATGAATGGCTAGCAACTCCCAACCACCCAAAGAGGGAGAATAGGTCTCTACCCACATCTTAGGAAGGTTTGACTTGTTTGGGATCAGAATTTTGGTTGAGAGAGGGACCACACTGACAGAAGAAGACATCCTGTTCCAAAGGGCACGGTGACAGGTGACAGAGTGGCGTCACCTCTTCACCATGACTACTTGAGCACTAAAACAGCAGTTAGCATTGCCCAGTCTTCCCTGTCCTCTGTCCCAGGCTCACTGTGGGTGATCTCTCCTGCGGTGCACTGTCACTACCAGGGCTCCAGCTTTCCTCTGCAGTATTAATTGTCATTCACTAATCTGACTAGGGTTACTAAAGAATGACTCACTCTGGCCACTTTTTCAGGAACTGCTATGACTCTACTTCTTTGTCACCCTCATGGGAAGCTCTCCCTGGCAACTTACCCAGCGCAGGACACACGGTTTCTGTGGAGTCCCATGGTACGCATACAACCGAGACTGACTGACTTGTCCATGAGGGATCTGGGGGCAATGTGCTGTTTTCGGGTGGAGCGGAAGACACAAGTACTTTCTGCAGACTAACTGGTATCTGCTGAGGAGAAAGTAGAACTTCTTGCATGTGATCCACATTCCACTTTAACCAGGCAGCCTCTTTGATGAGAGCTTTCCCTCCCTCAGACTAGAAAGTGTCCTTCCCAAACAGTATAGTGATGCCTTAAAAAACTAAAAATAGAGTTACCTTATGATCCAGCAATCCCACTCCTGGGCATATATCTAGACAAAACTCTAATTCGACAAGATACATGCACCCTAATGTTTACAGCAGCACCATTTACAATAGCCAAGACATGGAAACAACATAAATGTCCATCAACAGATGACTGGATAAAGAAGCTGTGGTACATTTATATAATGGAATACTACTCAGCCACATAAAGGATGAAATAATGCCATTTACAGCAACATGGACAGACCTGGAGATTATCACACTGAGTGAAGTCAGTCAGACAGAGAAAGACAAATCTATGATGTCACTCATATGTGAATCTTAAAAAAATGACACAGATGAACTTATTTACAAAACAGAGACAGACTCAGAGACGTAGAAAACAAACTTATAGTTACCAAAGGGGTAGGGGGTAGGAGGGATAAATTAGGAGTTTGGGATTAGTAGATACAAAATACTACATATAAAATAGATAAACAACAAGGACCTACTGTATAGCACAGGGAACTATATTTAATATCTAGTAATAACCTATAATGTAAAAGCATTTGAAAAAGAATATATATATGTATAACTGAATCACTATGCTGTACACCAGAAACTAATAAAACATTGTGAATCAACTATACTTCAATAAAATTTCTTTTTTTAATTTTTAAAAATTTAAAAAGAAAGTGTCCTTCCCAATCTTAGGCCTGTGACGGTGGTCTACCCATAGTCAGGAGACCAGGCAAGTCACGGGGAAAGGGCTCCAAAGTCCCAGCTTTGTTCAAAACCAAATGTCAGACAAGTGCTGCTAGCGGGAAGTGGTGTTCTGTAGGCTAGATGGTCAAAAGCCTGGGGACAGTCACATAGACATCCTACCCTTTCCCACTGGGGTGCATGGTGTGCAGCAGCCTCCAGAGGGCGCTGACATAGTCTCTTCCACATACTCAGTCCCAACAGCGAGGCCAAAGCTGGGGGAAGGGGGGAGTTGGTGCCCTCTTCTTCTGCCAGCCTAATTGTGGATGGCAGGACCCTCGCTTTCACTTTCCTCAATTTGAAGAGGAGAGAGTATCCATCACACATGTGACCCAAATACCATGATGGCAGCAGGACAGCCAAGTGAATATTCAAGAACAAAGTAGATGGCAGGTTTCTAACCTTGACTCTAGAGAAGAGCAGAAGGCAGTACTTCACACCGTCAAGCCACGAGTGGAGTGAACAGCAGTCCTCTCCAGTTCAGGGATAAGAGCAGTGGCATGAAATAGAAAGTTCCAGCTGTGTTTCTATCCCTTGAAGGTACTGCCGTAACAGAGATTAATAGGACATTACAAAGCAGAGAACGATTATTCGTCTTTGATCCAATATTAAGCTGGAGTCCAGGGGCAAGTGTTCATCTCTCCATCTGGATTTTTCTCAGCATCACCACCAGACATACCCCTTTGATCTAGCTAGAAAGAGAATAGACAGAAAACTCTCCTGAATCTGCCCTGATGGTGGATTTTGGCTATGGATCAGGATGTTTTGCTTTCAAAGTATTTTCTGATGTATATTTGTTTCACCAGTGGGCCTCTTCCACAGAGGAACTTCTCTCCTGGCCCTACAACCCTTGTCCCACCCCTGCGATATTAGAAGTTCACAAAGCTAGCCCCATCCCATTCCATCAGTTCCCGAACAATCCTAGGCCTCAGTTCCTTTCCCATCAGGTTGGCTCAGAGGGTGGGATCTCTAGTGAATGATGGGGTCATCTAGGACTGGTCCGTCACTCTCCCCAGTGCCTGCCTAGTGGGGAGCAGTAGTGACAATGCTCCTTCAGAAAAGAGCAAGAACACTTTTGTCCCCTTACCTCCATCCCAGCAGACTTGTTCATGCAGCCCTTGGATATGGCTCTCTGCTTGGACCCTGGGCCTTCTCCTTGGACACAGGCCATCCCCTGGGCACATTGATGCTGCCCCCCACAAAAATACCTGCTCTTTCTGGACCAACCCTGTATCATCTCACATTCCCAGCTGGGCTACCCCCACCCTGTACCCTGCTCGTCCCAGGAAGAGGATTAGAGTGGGCAAACAGGACTAGGGCAGTAGAAGGAGACCTCTGGGGGGAGCACGATCAAACATATATATTTTGGAAATTATTGATAAATGAGGAGTATAGGATTAACAAATACACAACACTATATATAAAATAGATAAACAACAAAGGTTTATTATATAGCATAGGGAACTATATTCAGTATTTTGTGAAAACTTATAAAGGAAAAGAATTTTTTAAAGAATACATATGTGTGTGTGTGTGTGTATAAAACAGAATCACTTTGAGGTATACCTGAAACTAACACAATATTGTAAATCAACTATACTTCAGTTTAAAAAAAAAACAACTGGCTGTGCACGAATGACTGTCCCTGTCGCTGAAGGCCTTAGCGACACAA